GGTTATACACCTATTGGGTTGTACACCTATTTGGTTGTACACCTATTGGGTTTTACACCTATTGAGTTGTACACCTATTGGGTTATACACCTATTGGGTTATACACCTATTGGGTTGTACACCTATTTGGTTATACATCCCATTTGTATCAACATTGTGATTTTTATGTAAAACCTTTCAATCTTGCCAGCTGGACGCACCACCATAGGACTCCTTCATTCTCACTCTGCCGGGAGCGGGGGTTCTAGGCACATGATTGGTTTTGCTTTATGAGGTGAACTGAGGTAGATGAGGCTGCTTCTCCTCATGCTCAGTATCAATGGTGAGACTGGTGGGAAGGTTACCTCTCTTCCTTCTCGGCTGGACCAGCCAGCCGATCCTATAGGACAACCAAGGGCACCACTTGTGAGGAGCGGCATTTTGCAATCGGCTCTTGCTGTTAGCTGAACTGGTACCTACACACGTGCATTGGGTCGTAGCCCTGGGCCTGTGGGGGCTGTGGATCTAAGGCTGCTTGGAAATAGGGTGTTCCTCATTCTGTGACTTAGGCCGTACCCAGGTAGGGTGGGTTCTGAACCCAGTCGTTCCTGAATTATAGCGAGAGCAGCACCAGGAGATACGGACATGCGGGGAGAGGAGGCATGTGTGTCAGCAGGGGCAGGTGCTAGGCGCTAAGTTAGTCAGCGAGGAGGCCCTCGCCTTGAGCTAACAGTCTGCCCCATGCTGTCTTTTGACCGTTCAGGTCGTCAGATTTGTCCAATTTCTTACCAGTAATATGTTGATTTGTGGAATGTCCAAAAGCTGTCCCATGTCATGATTATAAAATCATCCTCTAGTTTATATAACTTTGTCTGGAGTACGAGAAGGCTTCAAAAGTTTGTGGAGAAATTCCACTATCTTTTCGTTCTATTATTCCATGTATTTTTTGAAGCTCCATCAGATATATTTATGATATATGTATATTTTATATGTCTCTATCTAAAACAGTGCTGTGTAAGAGGGGACTTCAAAGTGTTCATGGAAAACTCCGTTGTCTTTTCTTCCTTGTTTTTAAGAACTTTCTGAAGTTACCTTGTGTATGTTGTTTCATGGTTTGTCTATATCACTTTTCTTTCTTAATTTGATTTAGCACTCAACTGTTAACACGGAATAAATGTGCGTGAGGTCTGGGCCCGTGTGCACATGCTTGCCACTGGTTTCTAGGGGATTAGTCCATTTTCTCCACCACAGAAACATGGTCTTAATGCTGTGGACTTACAAGGGGGCTTTCCCTTGGGTGGAGTTCAGGGATGGAAGTTGGAGCATAGTCTGTGGGAGAGTTTCCCTACCCATCCTCCGTTTTGTTGGTTTCTCTGATGGTATGGAAGCAAAACAGAAATTACACTAAATTTAAAATGTCACAGTCAGATATACAGGTGTACATGAGAAACACTCTTACCAAACCAGTGTTTTGATTTTTGACTTTGATGTTTTCTTAAGTCTACTAAACATAGCCCTTTAGTAATCAGCTTTCTAGTTTTAGCATTTTCTGTTTCCAATATGCCTTTAATCTGCTGTCTCTTTTTTGTTGTTATTGTCAAGTGCCGTCGAATTGGTTCTGACTCAGAGAGAGCCTGTAAGAGGTTCTGAGAGGAGGCTGATGGGTTTGAACCACCGACCGACTCTGTGGAGAGCGCCACTCCAGGACCTGTACAGCTAGTCCCTGACAAACAGTGTCAATTGGCTGGAACATAAGTAGCGGCTTTGGTTTGCGTAGATACAGCTTCTAATTGGTCAGTTTCAACTTCAGCTGTCTAGTAGAGATGTAATGCTGCTGCACTTCCACTTTACTGAAATTGCAAAACCCTTTCTGTGACTTATTTTCCTGTCCTTAATACTTGAAACTAAGTTAGTAGTTTACGTTCACAGAAAACCTATTATTCCTGCCCAACTTTATTAATCAGACATGAGCCAAATAGCCAATTCTCCCCGATTGTGAGTGAGAGTCTTCATGGACCGTCTGTAACATTAATGCCCATCCTGGCAGCTTGTTTATTAAGTTCCAGGCTTATTTAGAACACTTACTTAATGCTTATACCAAAAGTCAGGATTGGTCCTGAGATTTTCATGTAGTTTAGTCTTCAGCTGGTTACCAGCTTCATGCATACTAAATACTCGCTCAACCATTGAAATTACAATATTTGACAGGTCTGCAAAAAGTTTGCTGAATAAGCTGCTGGAAGTTTTACATTAAAAGATAAGTTAAGCAGTACGCGCTGTTCATTAACGCCAGGGGCAATTTACATGATGATGGATTGAACGTATTTTTGAGGCTGATTCGTTGTGATTTATCAAAAATACCCTAGTAGTGGCTGCTACTTCTGGTTCTTATCGCTAGTCAGTTTCACTAATGCAGACACTTGTTTATTCATTTTTCAAATTTCTATCAATGAATTTCCACAACATGCTGACTAGTCATTAGCCACCATAGTGTTACTGAAACACATCTGTGACATTTTAATTAACATGCCCTCTATGCTTCAAGGATTTCACTCTTAAAGTGCAATTTTACTTATGCAAATAAAAAAAAAAATTGGAAATGGGTAAAAACATTATTATGATTATTTTGTCATGCCATGATGGATCAAAATAGTTATTTTTAATAGACTGAAACTTGTATGTCTTTCCCAGTGGATCACTCTGCCATCACTAATATATCTCAGGAGTGAACATTCTACCAATTCCACTGTCTTTATTTTAGTTCCTCTGCCTTTTAAAACAGCTGGTGAGCTTGAACCACTGACTTTGCAGTTCAAATGACTTTGCAGTCTGACACATTAACCCACAGTGCCACACCAGGACTCAAAAACAGGAATAGATGTGGGCAAAGTGTTCCTGCTGTGATCTAGGTGTTCCTCTTTTCAAAAACTGATTTAAAATATATTTCTTTAAATTTACATTTTTAAATAAACAGTACTAGGCATTGAGAAGCATTGGATTGGTAGCAATGACTGTAGCTGATAGAGATTACAGAAAGGCCTAGAGATGGAAAAGCCACATAAATGACAGAGAGGCTCCAAAATACTCGTGGGAAGTGGGATGAAAAGATCGTGGAACTCCCCACAAAGCCCCTTCGTATAATTACTTGTAAAAATAATCCAACAAAGCTATATACATGGATGTTTCAAACAAGAGAGTAGACATAATCAGAGAGAGAGAGACCTGCGCCCTAGGAGAGATGTGCAGGAGACACACACATGTCCAGAAAGAGGTAGGGACAGTGAGGGGACAGTGCACAAGAGGGGCATAACAGGGAACGGAAGCTAGGGAATGATTGAGTGGTGATGGCCTGCAGGAGAAAGATGACGCTGTCTGCTCCACGGCACACCACTAAGAGCTTGGTGTGGAGCTGCTGGATCAGCTCTGGGCTGTGAACCAGCAAACACTTCACACGCTTGACTGGTAACCAGCGTTGGGAGTTGCAGTGTCTCCCGAGAGTACCTTGGAAGAAAGGCCTGGCTGTCTGATTTTGAAAATGCTGCTCCTGCAAACCCTGCTGTATGCACAGAGGGATGCCATGAATTCCAGTCAACTCGGCAGAATCTGTTCTTAATTTTTTTTTTTTTTTTTTAAAGAATTACCCTGCACTGAAGAAAGATCAGGGTCCTCAGATTCAGGAAATACAATGAATGAATTCCAAATAAGAGAAGTGCTGGTGGAATTCAGAACATGAAAGAAAAGGGAAGATCTTCAAGTCGATCGTGAAGGATAAGTGCGTTGGAAAAGTGGACGTGTTCATGCAGAATGAAGAGTGGAGTCCAGCGTCCTTGAACAAGTTGTGTAGAGATTGTCGTCTAGGAACCTGAGCTGTTGTGTAATGTAACAGAAAACATACTACAGTAGTATTTTAAAGTAGTATGTAGTGAAAAGAAGACAGATTTGCCACAAAAAAACCCAAAGACCAACAATTGACTCTGGGCAGCCTTCTTAACTGTATCACTTTAATAATGGAAGCCATAAGCCAATCAGCTAGTATAGTCAGCGTTACTGCCAGCCAGCACATCCTACCACACTCAGCTAATAAGCTCATCGCCAGATGTTTGTTACCAGAGAGACTCAGGAAAGACTCTTCTAGAAGTGGGTGGTGGGTGCAGGTGGTGTTTTGTTTGAGGTCCCCTGGTGGCTCTGACATGTCACAACGTCCGAGGGTAAATCTGGGGACGTTCCCCATGAATGATAACTCAATTTATGGTACAATAAAACATGGGGACCGGGATACTTGCCACACAGGAAGCCCTGCAAACGAAGCAGCGACAGGTCTTAACATGTTAGAACTAACAGCCCTGATGGGACAGTGGGCTACAAGTCGGAATGCTAACCATAGATCCATGGTTCAAACCCACCAGCTGCTCCTCAGAGGAAAGATGAGGCAGTCTGCTCCCATTAAGATGTGCAGCCATGGGAACCCTAGGGGTCACTAGTGGGTTACTCCGACTCGATGGCAGTGGGTTTTGTTGTGTTGTGTATGTTGTGGTCTTAGTCCTGTAAGAAAGGAGGAAACACGAGCTGATGATCCCAGTGCCCCCAAGTAGAGGTTCAGAGAGTGGTCTCTGTGCACAGGTGGACACACCTGCTCTTTGAGGTAAGCATTTGAAGTGCTCTTTGATCCCTGTGCTGAAATGCTCTCTTGTGTTTTTCTGTTCGAAGCTGTTTTAAAAGCCTGTGCTGACGGAGGTGCCAACCGCCTGTATGATGTCACCCAAGGAGAGCGGGAAAGGTAGGTTTCAGACCCCATCTTCCTGTCCTGCCTCCTGGTGGGCATGCTCTAGCCTGAGTGGGCTGTCCATCACCTCCCAGAATACCAGGTAGAGAGCGCCACCTGGCCGTGCTGTGAGCTGTCCCTCCGCAGAGTGAGGTCTCAGCAGGAGTGTGGTGTGGTTGTGTTGTGAGCTGTCCCTATGCTGACTGGGGTCTCAGCAGGAGGAGTGTGGTGTGGTTGTGTTGTGAGCGGTCCCAAT